TAATGTTTCAGAGTTAAAAGTCCCCTGAAACTGGGACTTGAACTCATAATTATTTTATATCTTTTAAACTTTGGTTTATTAATCATCTGGTTGCCGAGCAATGTATGATTTGCACACGCGTTTGTTCACTCGGCTGGCCTACTCTAGAATATGATTAATTATTGTAACTACAAATTTTGTACCATTCTTTGGACTTGATGGACGAAATTTTTAATCAAGGAAAATTATGAGAGATACATCCTATTTGAAAGTATAGATTCGAAAGAGTACAATCATTCATCTATCTAGTAACCCAAATGAACTCTCTTAATAATATAGAGGAAGAAATATTAAGGCCAATACTCCTAGTGAACCACACAAATTTCACTCTCCTAAAGCTGTTAAAAAGTAAGGCATTATGTAGGGATGCAAAAACAAGAATTTATAAGACACTTATCCAACCGGTCCTTACATATGGATCAATGTTGGACAGTGACTAAATACCATGAACAGGTCCTTCTCAAATTCGAGAGGAAGGAGTTACGAAGAATCTATGTGGAGATGTTGATGCATGCACCTTAATAAAGTTATCATAGCTTTGTTGGGCGGGCCATGTTGCTTGGATGAAACCAAATGAAATTCCCCATAAAGTCTTTTCAGAGTGTTTATATGGAACAAAAAAAGTTTGACGTCCTACTTCGCTGGGAGAACGGGGTGGCTGGCTACTGGCACAAGGTCCCTGCTTGTGATCAGGAACTGAAACGTTGTGGTAGGAAACAGAGGGGAATGGTGATCTTTTGTAGAGCAGGCTTTAATTCAATAAGTGGGTTGTAATGACATCTAATAATTTTTTTTAAAATCAATTTTTCTTTGAGGCCATTTTGAATTTACTTTTTGATTGAAAACAAATTTTGGGGAATACTCTATTTCATACTTGTTTTGCAGATATCAAACTAAAATTATCTTAGTGATATTCTTTACATTTTTACTTTCACTTATCTATACATGAAATTATAAGGAAAAGTAATGCGATAGGAAAAACTTTTGAATCTTAGTTTTTAATGGAAATAAGTTTTTCATGGTACTGTGCTGTGACACCAACAAACAAATTTTATAAAATGGTCTGTATACTTGTTTGTGTTTGTAAACAGCCTATCTCAAAAATGAAACGCCATATGAAACTGAATTACTTATTTAAAATAGGTATATGGTTGAGATATGGCAACTTTTTTGCCAAAACCGAAAAACCAGAAGTTGTGCTTAATATCAATAATTTTACACATTTTTACAATTTTCTAAAAAATAGCTCTTAACGATTTTGATTTAAGTTATTATATCAATGTCGAATAAAATGTTTTGACAGACTTAAATACCGAATCAACAAAATTTCTTCCTGTAAAGTAACTGGAATTTTGTTTATTTGAAGTAATTAACCATCTAACTAACATATAAGTTATTAATAATAATAAATAGAAAATTATTAACTATGAAAATAATTGATAATCAACTAAAGGAGAAATAATGCCTGTTGAGGGGCAACTGAGAACCATCAAAGATAGCTGAGTATGCTCGAGCTGAATCCAGAACATAAAATAGTTCCCAAACGTAACACATATGTTAACATATTCTATGTCATATCAGAGATGAAATAATAGATATACATCTATAGTTTTAATTTTAGCTAGCTCTGGTATTAATTGATTTTTAATTGTATAGATTACAGCCACATGGACATTAAAATTTATGTATGTATATCTATGCTTAAACAAATAAAAATACCCACAATGTAAAACAATAAATGCAGCGGCCTCCTTTATCACTGACATTCTTGTTTGATTAAAAAGATTTTGTAATATCTTTATAATTAAATAAATAATTAGACTATACAGTCATAGAAAGAAATGGACTATGATGAAACGTGCATAAATTTATTAGATTGGATGAGTGGGAAGAATATATATGTATTTTTTAAATGAATGAATATGTTATACCATCTATAATTTTATAATTTTTACTTCCACTTCCCTATATATATATATATATATATATATATATGCAAATATTTTTTATTCAAAGTAGGGTGGTAAGTGTGGTAAATCACACCATATTTTTTTGTCTTTTAACACCTCAGGAAAGTGGTTTGAAACAATTATAAAACTGATATTGTTTACACCACTTTATGATGGATAAAGTTTGGTAATATAACATGAAAGTTTTGAATCATGGTTAAGACAATCTACAAACCAAGCAAAGTGTAATGAAAGATATTGATCTATTATTAATATATAATATATTATGAATCATACTAATTTTGGCAATGCATTGAGCTTTCCGTGTATAAAGTTAGATTCAATTATTAATTATCAGGCAGGAAAATAAACTTTCTGTATTGTACCTTTTGCCTGAAGCCATTTAAGTACATCATTTTATGATTCTGATTTTATTTTTAATTTAATCTAATATATTGATTAAAAATTCCTTCAATTTTACAATTTATTGCATTGAAATTCCTCAATTATTCTTGAATTTGTTCATGCTATATCACTTTATGCCCTACAATACAGCTGAGAAGTACCAAAATAATATAAAACTGTACCTGCTAAACGTTTTAAGTGCTTTGACATAATTTTTCAGGAAAAATTTGAAACTACCAGGTCATTGCAACTGAGAAATAAATCTGATATAACATAACAATGATGTACAATGAACTTTTGTGTAGTCATAGAGATGTGAAACTATTATTTTAATAATAATTGTTTAATGAGGTTTTACAGGTATACTGTTGATTAATATAATCTAACCATAAACTACTTCTTTCTATTTGATAATTCAACATTAATGCTCCCTGCAGCTGAAATATTGTATTATGTTAACCACATTCAGTTAGATCTTGGAAAAGATCGAAGAAAAGGTGGAAGAACCCAAGTCAACATAGGGCAACTTAATTCAACTTTCAAGCTGGAAAATAAATATATAACTAGTGTTTTGGATTGAAGTTAAGAATGAAAATGAATTTAATTTGTACAACCAGAGAAACTTAGAAAAAGTTGGGATATTTCACTATTCTGGAAAAGTTGGGAATTTTCGTCAAACTCGTAAAGTGTGGAAATTTTCCAAAAATTTATTTCTGAAAAATGAAGAAATAAAATAAAAATCTCTATGACATAAAAAAGTTTTTGGTGACCCTATAATATTTTATTTTACATATAAGGTGGAATACCCACAGAGCACCGTTACCATGCGGGTTTCCGGATACTGCACCCAAATCCCATCACCCAGATAAGATTTTTTGTAATTGTTCAGGATGTAAGTTCAACTATTCTCTTTTTTTAACAATTTCTGTCTTTCATACACATGTTTTGTTCGTAACATGGGGATTGATCCGCCATTAGGCAGACAGAGGGTATCCTCTAGTTTATTTAAAAGTAGTTGCTCCAACATTTTTTTCCTCTTCATTTATAATCTGCACTTCTCACAACTTCGTACATCTTGGGATCCATTTAATCTCATTTTTAACTTTCTGGATTTCATTTTAATCTAGTCATTTCTTTTAGGGCTGTTTTTTTTTTTTTCAATTTATTTCTGATCATTGACATTGTTTTTGATAACCATTGCTTGATACATTTTAATATGGCAAACTGTTATACATCAAATGATGAAATTTAATTAACTAAATTTATATGAATATTTATTTAAGAAAACATAATTGTTTTTCTTTCTTAATTCAGTGAGTCTGGTGTAGGAAAATAATTAACTAAATATTACTCAGTTTTATGTTTTACTTCAACTCTTAATTATCTTAAACTTAATAGACATTTTATGTCCTCATCTGTAGACATGAGTGGTGGGCTTTCTCCTGGTTAGGAACTGTTCTTGATGGAAAAAGAATGTTCTATTTTCCAATTTAACAAACATTTCTAATTTCTTTTGAGTACTTTTGGTTTGAAAGTGTCTGAGTGCTACTCCAACTTAAATGGTTACAATATTCTTCTATTAACAGAAGTTATTCATCTTTTGATTGTGATGATTATTATTATTTTTTTTTTTTTACTTGGAAGCTTGAAAGTTAAAATTTATAATGCATATACAACTTTAAATTCTGTTTTCTCTTCAATTTCTTACACATATTACCGGAATAGATGCATGTTTCATGATATAACAAACCAATTGCATTAAATTAATTTATTAGTTGACTTTATTATTAAGAATAATGCATTTTTCTTTGTGAAAACTAACATTTCTCTCTGTTTATTTTACCTCATGCCTTTTTTAATTTATTTGTATAAGGATTCATTGTTTATAATATAAACAAATTATGGCATCAGGTGGAATGGTACAAATTAACTATTTAGAATTGAATAAATAACAGTTTGCACATTGTCTTATGTTGGTATGGTTTTATCAATTAAGTGTTTGTTTGGCTTTAGCATTAGATTTGTGATATTTTTTGGTTTTTCTACTAACTTTTTTTTTTTTTTAATGCTTAGTTTGTTCTCTTATCCATAATATTCCCTACAGTTAATGTAATTTTTTATAATGAAGTCACTAACATAGTGCATTTGCAACATAAGTGTTATATTTGATGTTTTATTAAAGTCAAAATAAAACTAAATTTCGTTATTTTTCTTGTAAGTAGATATTTGCTCGATTCTTCATTGAAAAAACCTTGCCGTGTGGTTGTTTTTCTTCAGCATGCATGTTTTTATTATTATTATTTTATTTATTTTTTTTTTTTTTCTAAATAATTTAGATATTTATCCATTTATATGTATACTTGCCAGTCCAACAATCATGCTTTTTTTATTATAAAGATATTTTTTTTAAATGCGTCTTGCAAGTGCTCTCAGTGACAACTTGATTGTGTTTTTGTGATTTTGAGACTGATAACTGCTGTTGCAAATGCATTATGGCTGACAATTCATTAATTTTTTATTTAAAATAAAGAAAAACGATATACTTGGTTCTATTCTATTTTTATACCAGTCCAAAGTTTTATTAGTATATTTCAATCTGATTTTTAGAGTCGAGCTCCTATATCTGCAAAACTTGTGGCCAATATGTTGTCAGTAGCTGGTGCAGATCATATTATTACCATGGATTTACATGCCTCGCAGATTCAGGGTTTCTTTGATATACCCGTTGACAATTTATATGCTGAACCTGCTGTTCTGAAATGGATAAAAGAAAACATTCCTGAATGGAGAAACAGCATTATCGTATCACCAGATGCTGGAGGTGCTAAGAGGTAAGTAACTCAAGTTTTTCTCCTGTTTTTAGCTGTCTGAATAATTTATCCCATTTAGAATTAAAAAAATTTTATCTAACGAACATTTCTTTTCGTTATTAGATATTAACTATTACAGGGTCACATCAATAGCAGATAGACTGAATGTGGAGTTTGCTTTGATTCATAAGGAAAGGAAGAAAGCCAACGAAGTTGCTTCAATGGTTTTGGTTGGAGATGTGAAAGATCGAGTTGCAATTTTGGTAGATGATATGGCTGACACATGTGGTACTATTTGCCATGCAGCAGAAAAGTAAGTAGTATATATGTTGCTTTATTAATATATGTGCAAGGTTAAGGCTACTTCACCATTTTCATCATCATAAGAAATTATTATTATCTATTTTCATTATTTATTCCATTTCATCGCGGCGAATCAAATGGGCTTGTAAAGTTGTTGGACTTAGTAACGAGAGAATTCCTAAAAGGTTAATATTTGCTGTGTCGAATGGTAAGCGTCCGAGGGGTAGACCGAAGTGAAGGTGGGAAGATGGCATTAAAGCCGATCTGAAGGGACTGGGTTTGGACGGCGAACGGTGGAGGGAGGTGTGTAATAAGCGATTGGTGGTGTCGGCATCGAACCTTCGGGTTCGCTAAGCCTTTTTATTAATTATTAATTCCATTTCAATATAGGTGGTTTATGTAATAATAGCTCTTCAGTCTTCTTCAACTTAAGAAAATAGCCATTTTTTTTTCAGATCCATTGTTTAGATAAACGACAAAGTTAATACTACCCAATCTGATGTCTTATAGCTGAAACCAGAAAATTCCAGGCATAACATATAAATCGTAAATAAACAACCTGATAATTTTAAATTAAAATTTGTTGAAATGAAACTACTAAGTATCCTCCTTCATCTCTCAAGGGAAATTTTATCTTAAGTCTTGAGTCACACATTTTAGCGATAAGATTTTGAGCATGATGTTTGTTGATGGGAGGGATGGTTGACTAATTTCCTTACCTTGCCTTCTATCGCGATGGACAGTAATAGGTGCTTTGAGTGGTTACATAACATTGTCAACGTTGAAGGAGGCTGATTTTTATAAAATATCACTATGTGTGAATGTTAGGTAGAATCATATAATTGTGACTAGTTATATTTGTAAAAACTACATTAAACAATTAATAAATGGCCTAGAAATTTCAAAGTGAAAGATTTAAAGTACTGGTCCCAGTAATGGCTGTAATAAGTAAGTAATGAGCTGGAATAAAAATATATCAGAGTATTTCTATCGGCGAGTCTTGTGATACTTTCATTCTATACCTCGTTCCTGTTTTAATAAATTCAAATACAGAATTTAAAAAACAATATCCAGCTTGGAACATTTAATCAGCAGAAACTAAAAACAATAATAATAAACCTGCAAGAGGCAATGAAGTGTGTCACTGCTGGGGCTTAACGAACCCCTGGGTTCTGATGTTCAATACACCGCACTCTATCGGCATATCAGAACACTGACATAAGCACACCTACAGAACACACCTTAGGGCTACCTTCCCTGAGAAGACCTGGCAGAAGGTTAAAAATGCAACCTTCCTTAAAAATGGAGCTGAGAAGTCGTAAAATCGCCTCAAAGGAATCTAAAGAATGGGCTACTCTAGAGGGTTTGGATATGTAGCCCACTTCATCGGCAGGCCGTGCAAGTGGCTGCTTGATGTCGTATGGAACCGTAAGACCGGATCATCAAGGACTAACAACTAACTCTGGTTCGAGCTTGGAAGCTGTTGTGCCTCCTGCACAAGGTAGAGGTCCTAACAGCCAAAGAGTTAAACACCGATGTTTGAGATGGACTCGAGAAATTAATAGAGCAGCCATCCGTGCTTATTATTTGACTACAAATATAGAAACAAATAAAACAGGATATTGCAGCAAGATTGTTGGATATTGGAATGAGATATTTTCTCAGATTTCCATTACTGGCAGATCAAGTTAAGCAAATCTTTGAACGAAAGTTTCTTTTGGAAGCCAAATTAACTGAAATAAAGAAGGAAATAAATAGTAATCTTGATCCTACTCAAGAAGTAATAACGCAGCAGCAAGAAATTAGGGTTTCTGCTAAGGAACAACAAATTAAAGTTAATAGGGAAAATATAAATGGACAAAATAATATTGATAAAATAAATCCGCTGTTGCTGACAGAAAACTTGAAATTTGAAGGTATTCCATTAGAACACTGACCATTAATTCCAAAAGTGTCATACGGTAAAAAAATATTAGATACTGTACAAGCAGTGGATAAGGTTTTTTTAAATACTTAACGTCTGATTCAGAGATAAATGATATTCGTCATTGGATATATGTCGGAGCAATATCAGTAGCAAGCGAATTGCGTATAACGAATGAATGTTTAACAGCACCAAAAGAAAGGAAGAAACAGGAAATGATTACAAATTATTTAAGAAACTATTTAATTATTTAAGAAACCCCACTACATCAACCTTTAAACTTAAAGAAAAGTGGATGAAATTGTAGTTCTCCATTTAGGAACTGAACAGGAGTCAAAACTAATTGATAAATTGAATATTTATTTAGACAGTAATGAACAGAAATGGGCTGTATATGCTAATAGATTAAGAAGATAGACAGATGCTGAAAATAGACGGATGCAGAATTGGATTTTCTATCAAAGCAGAAGACCTTCTATAACACTAACCCAAACTTTGTGCGTTAGTTATCAATGAAAAAGAAACAGAAGATTTTTGGTATAAGATATGGGAAGCTCCGAAACTAAACAATTTTAATGAATCTTGGATGGACAGGGTTCGGAAAAATAATGGCTTCATTAATCCGATAGAGAGAATAATGTTAAGTGAAGATGTCAAACAAGCAGTTAAAAGAATGAAAAATAGGAAATCACCTGGTCCTGACAAAATTCAGAATTATTGGTTAAAGTACTTTACTAGTACGCATTCAATTTTGGCTACTTATTACAGAAAACTATTAGCCAATGCCATTATTCCACCTGATGACTTCAGTAAAGGAATAACATATTTAATCCCTAAATCTACTAAGGACCTTCTGGAACCTAAAGATTTTAGGCCTATCACCTGCCTAAATCGGGTGTATAAATTGCTTACGTCTGAGATTAGTTGTAAAATATCGCACCATGTCAACAAGTACAACATCATGGCAAAAGAGCAATTAGGATGTCAAGGGATGTAAGGAACTGGTGATATTAGATTCGTTCGTAGCTTCGCAGATATAAAAAAAAAAGCGAAATGCTTCTATTGCCTGGATCGATTACCAAAAGGCGTACGATTTAGTTCCTTACAAGTTGTTAATGGAGGTACAAAATAGACATTAAAATAGTAGAGCTATTAGAATGTCTAATGAAAACTTGGAAGGTGAAATTACACCTGCCTAAATTTAGTCGTTCCAATATTTGTACACCTATAAATAGAGGAATATTTCAAGGAGACTCTTTAAGTCGATTACTGTTTTGTCTCCCATTAAATCCAATTCAGGTATGGGTTATAGACTCAATATAAATGGAACCAGATTATCTCATGCTTTATACATGGACGATTTAAAACTGTATTCTAAGAGTGAAGAAGAACTTGAGAACTTGATCGAAATATTTAATTATGATATAGGCATGACGTTGGAAATAGATAAATGTGTCATAATTCATGTTAAAAGGGGTGAAGTAATGAATAACCAAGACCAGAACTGATTAACAATGGAACAATAAAAGAATTAAACAATTCTGATTCTTATAAATATTTAGGTTTCAGTGAACTTTTAAAATTCAAGAAAAGTAATAAAGAGAATTATAAAGGAGAATTCAAGAAGAGAATTAAAATACTAATCAAAACATACCTCTCATATAACAATTTAATTAAAGCTATAAATACATGGGCTATTCCTGTGTTGACTTATATGTTTGACGTTGTATAATGGTCTAATAGGGAGCTGGGGGAAATTAATCGTTTGTTGAGAGTTCTTTTTACCTTAGCCAGGAAATGACATTCCAAATCTTCAATTGAGAGGATGTATTTGCCACAGATAAAAGGGGGAAGAAGACTTGTATACTTATTAAGAAGCTATAGAGAGCAAGAAAATAATTTAAGGTGCACTTTCTAACTAAGAAAATCTTCTGCATGATCAGCCATAAAATCACTGGATAATGCCTACACAGCTTTAAACTTAGTTTCAAAAGAACACAAAGAATTCCTAACCGAAGAAAATCTGGTAGAAAATTAAAGCACTACATGGTCGATTTTACAATGCTTTATCTCAATTGGGAGTTAACTGGGAGGCCTCTAATAAATGGCTTAAGAATGGATACTTATATCCCGAAACTGAAGGTTTTATTTTGGCAATACAAAACCCGGTAGTATCCACCAATGCTTACAAGAAATATATATGTGGAGAAGACGTAAGAGACCGATGTCGTCTATGTAAAAATACAATAGAGTCAATCCACCATGTTTTATCGGGATGTCAAGCATTGGCAGGTAAAGAATATCTGATGAGACACTATAACCTGGCTAAAATTGTTCACCAAATCTCATTAAATAACATGACAACAGACGAGATTCCTTATTATCGATATGAGCCCAAACCGATGTTGTCAAAAGAAAATAGAATAATATATTGGGATCTATCTATAATTACAGATCACACGGTAGTAAATTACAAACCGGACATCGTATTAATTGATCGGAAGACACAAAGTGGGTATGTCATTGATATAGCGGCCCCAACCGATGATAATATCAGTAAGACTATTTCTGAAAAGATTAGGAAATATCAAGATTTGTGCCAACAGTTTCGGCAACTTTACAAACTGAATCAAGTATAGGTATATTCAATTGTAATTTCCAGCCATGGCCTTATCCCAGACGATACCATTCGCTCTGTCGAAAATTTGAAACTGCCAGAGGAAGTGTTGGAGGAAAGGCAGTTCACCTAGGCACAGTGAACATCGTCAGGAAGTTCTTAAACATAGTTTAACTTTTGAGCCTAACCCTTGATCTTGGTCCGGGTAGGTCAATATTTCTTCCAACGCCACCAATCGCTTATTACACATCTTCCTCTACCGTTCGCCGTCCTAACCCAGTCCCTTCAGATTAATTATCTTAAGTAATTAATTTCAGTCCCTTTAACACAATTTTCCCACCTTCGCTTCGGTCTACCCTTCGGATGTTTACCATTCGGTATAGCAACCTTTTAGGAATTCTTTCGTTACTAAGCCCAACAATTTTACAAGCCCGTTTAATTCGCCATGATGTAATCACTTCAATTATAT